TTTTATGATAAAGCTACATTATTCATGCAAAAATAAAAAAATTCTGTCAATTACTCACCCTCATGTCATTCATGCCATGGTTTCTGGAGAATATCCAATGTTTTTCCAATGTATTGAAAGTGAAAGGGGACTGGGGCTATGAAACTCCAACATAACAAAAAATAAATAGAAAAATAATAATAAAAATCACAAACGCACATCTGATACTTTGAAGTCTTCTTAAGCAACTTCAGAAAATGTAAGTTACAAAGAGATTTAAAAACACACACAATACCATTCACAACAGTCACAAATTTCACCCATGATTTTTTTTTTTTAGATTAATACTTTTATTCAGCAAGGATGCATAAACTGATTAAAAGTGACCGTAAAGACATGCCACAATATATTTACGTTTCTAGATTTCTATTAATCAAAGAATACTGAAGATGTATCACAGTTTCCACAAAAATATTAAGCAGCCCAACTGTTTTCAACGTCGATAATAATAATAATAAATATATATATATATATAAATATAAATGTTGAGCACGTAATCAGCATATTTCTGACGGGTTATGTGACGGTGAAGGCTGGAGGCTGAAAATTCAGCTTTGCCATCACAGAAATAAATTACATTATATTTAAAATATATTAAACTAGAAAGCATTTAAAACAATATTTTAAACTGTAATAATACTTCACAGCATTACTGTTTTTACTATATTTTAATCAAATAAATGCAGCCTTGATAAAAGACTTCTTTCAAAAACATTCAAATATCTTATTGACCACAAACATTTGAGTGCATATATTTTATTATTATTATTATTTATTTTAAATCCACATGGTGTTCTACAAAGAAAGTGAGTAATCCATCTATTGAACTAATAAACAACATTTGTAGTTTGTGATTGGACAGACTGGTGAAAATGGGGTGTAATCTCATCATGACATTCACTTGAATGTTATCTCAGATGAAGAGATTGTACAGGTATCCAAACCCCTTTGATACACAAACCTGTGGACTGTTTTGGGACTGTTGTGTGAAATGATTTAAAGTTGATTGTGTAGTTGTCAGCAAGTTTCTGCATGCATGCTGACTCATTCTTAAAGTAAATTTCTATTGCAATATATTGTACAATACTTGGTATTGCTGAGATTTGTTGAGACCTGTCTACTGAGCAGTCTTATTAACCAACAGAAAAAAATATCAGTTTACTCTTAGTTCTTTGCACTTTAAAAACATTGCCACATTGTGGAAGTAAGGCTATATGCACATCTGATTTCCATGGGAAAAGTTCTATGTCATTCCTTTGATAGCATGCTTATTTTTTTCAACTAAACTTTTGACTTCTTTTGAACTAAAGGTCCATAAATATACTGTATTTTCAAAGGCTGTGTCACTTATCAGCTAAACTAATTTGAGCAAGGCATTCTACATAAACAGCGAGGAGGAAAAAGAAGGGGGGGAATGCACACCACAAAAAGCACATTCCTCTGAAGAATAGTCTGACTGGAGCGAGATGTTCTTTTACTCACAGGAGGCTCTGTTTGCTCAACTATTCTTTCCTTAATGTGCACAAATACTTTACTCATACTACAACTTCAATTCATCATTTAAATGCTTTTCAGCAATTATGTGGCATGACAGATTGAGTAACTCACAGTCAAGAACCAACTATTATTATCTAGAAACAAAGACAAATGCAGCAGAGGTGTGCAATGCATAAACAACTACTGCAAAGAAAAACTTCTTTACTTCCTTTCTTCAATGGATATATGGAAATACTGTAAATACAGGAAACCACTACCCTTACTGAGTGAGACATTTCAGAGAATGGACATTTCATGTTGTAAGTGTTTATGCCAGTATGAAAAGGGACTGAGGCTGTCAAGCTCACACACAAAAAAAGAAGCTATAAATTGTCTTCTGAAGTCATACAATTTACGTTATTTAATGAAAAAATTGCCTTTCAATTCAAATTCAAATAAAAAAATATATAATAATTACAAATACACTACTGTTCAAAAACTTAGGGTTAGTAGGATATTTTTACAGTAGTTACGGGCAGTGTTGGGGAAAGTTACTTTTAAAAGTAATGCATTAATTACGTAACTTGCATTACTTGTAATGAGTTACCCCCAACACTGGTTACGGGATATTATATATTTTTAAAGAAATGAATACTTTAATACTTTTATATAGCATGGATGCATTAAATTGATCAAAAGAGACAGCAAAGACTTTTCCATTGTTATGAATTTCAACATTGATATTTCAAATAAACGCTGCTCTCTTAAACTTTCTATTCATCAAAGACTCCACACAAAAATAAATAAAAAAATAAGCAGCACAACATTACTTATAACAAGACATGTTTCAGCAAATCAGCACATTAGGATGATTTCTGAAGGTGCACCACAGGAATAAATTGCATTTTAAAATATATTAAAACAGAAAACATTCATTTTAAATTACAATAATACTTTGCTGTCCCGTTTTTATATCTAATAAATGCAGCCAGGTTGAGCATAAGCTTTCAAAAACAAAAACAAAAGAATCTTACTGACACCAAAATTCGAAGAGTTTCTAGCCAGATAAATATTTCCAAGCAATTATATAGCTTGGGGGAAAAATACAAATAAATAACTTAAGATATACAATTAAAATTCACAAGATGTTTCAACTAATTTTCATGACTTTCACAGGATCAGAAATCACAATTTAAAAAATGTTTCCATGACCGTGGGAACTCAGTTACCAATGATTCTTAGAGACAAGCACCAGCTAGTTTCTCAATACAGTAATTTATTGCGGAGGCTGGATCAGACATGGCTGGACCAACAAGCATCAGGATGAATACAGTCCTTATGACAACTAAACCCATAGGGATTAAACGCAATCTGTATTTACCACGCTTTGCATTGATCACATTATCTATGGCAGCACACTGATATAAACCAGACTTTTGTGTTTACAGAACACAATGTTTACTTGGTTCTAAAAGACCAAAACATTACTTATTTAGCCCATAAAGTCTCCTAATCTAATAATGTTTGTCAGAATGAACACTTGACGAGGTCTAATGAGTGCAGCACCCATTTGTACCCACTGAGAAATTATTTTTCAGACAAAAGGACAGAGAAAAACAGCTACTAGACCCCCCCATCTACCCTGACCTCATCCTTCAAGCTGGAATGAGATGAGAGCAGAACTGAACAAAAGCAGTCTGCCAACACACTGTCATCAGATACAGACTCAGGGGAGTGAGGAGAACCTGCATCGAGAGCCAGGTCGCTACACCTCTCTCTTTCCCACACAATCTCATAGACTGCACTGCAGGGGTTCTGAGATAACTGAACACAAGCTCATAGTTTTCCTTGAAAAAATGTCTAAAACTGATTTTAACCAGTGGAAGTACCAACAATTGGTTAAAAGCAAGAAAAAGCATTGTGAATTTCTAGAAAACTGCCATGTATCAAAACAAAAACTTTCTGTTACATTGTATTCTTTTACAAGCAGTGCAGAGAAAAGAAGTTTGTTCTCTCTAAAGAAAAGGTTGCAGAAAAATAGATTTTGCATAAAGTCTGCACTGTGAACCTAGTATGGAAGCTTGTTACCGCCATGGGATTTTTATTAAAGGTAATTATAACTTCTCACAATTTTACATTTTTCATCTCACAATTATAACTTTTTCCTCGAAATTGTGATAAATTCAGAATTGTTACATTTAATCTTATAGAATTGCAATCCATAAACTCACAATTGCAAGACATAAATGCAGAATTGCAAGATTAGACTCCCAATTCTGAGAAGAAAAAGTCAGAATTGTGAGACATAAACTTGCAATCACTAGAAAAAAAAAGTTAGAATTGCGACATAAAAAGTCGTAATTACCTTTTATTTTTATTTTGTTGTAAAAAAAAAAAAAAACAGTTGCGAGAACTTCTGAGAAAAAGTTGGAATTGCGAGATGAAACCTCAAAATTCTAGAAAAAAGTCAGAATTGTGATGAAAAAAAGTCAGGATTGTGAGATAAAAAGTGTGATACTGACTTGTAGTTCATTATCAGTCTAGTGAAAGTGTGGGAAAGGAAACTGCACAGCAGATTTTTTCCAGTCTGTCACCATCCCAGCTCAGCATTACTGACATCAATGGAACGGGGAGGGAAGAGTCCCAGTCGCTCTGGATTTACGAGGCAGGACTGGAATTTAGAGGAGCATGTGATACACAGCAGATAAATCCTCCAGTTGAGCTCCTTCAGTGTTTCCGATGCCTGCAAAGGTGGATGCATCATAGGTGAAGTGTCATTTCTAATCTGATAACAGACAGAGGGGCCCAGAGGGGTAATGTATGATGCATTTGCTTTTTATTCTCACCTTAGTATTACTAAACCAAAGAAGAATGTGGTGGTACAAGGCTCCAAGCACTGTTTTTTAAAGGAATGTGTTAAAGGGATAGTTCAACCAAAAACAACTTATTTGTCATTTACTCACCAACCTGTATGACTTACTTCTGTGAAACACGAATATGTGAAACACAAAAGACTAAACAATTACAATGAATAGGGACTAAATCATTAATCCTCCAAAAGTGCCACAAAGGCACCATAAAGATATCAGAAAAGCAATCCATATAACTTGTGCTGTGCATTATACATTTTCTAATGGCATATAATTAGGAATGCACCAATATTAAATTCTGCACCATACTAATAAGCTAATAATTATTTTAATATTATGGACAATAATCGCTAAATCTATATGAAAAATCTTTACCAAAATTTTTAATACCCAAAAAAATATATAAAACAAAAACTAAAATCAATCAATTTAAGCACCACAACATTATAATGTACAGCATGAAAAATTGATATTCCAATTGATTTGCTGAAGATTACATTTAACAACGTTATTACATTTTAGTGTTTTTAAAGATAAACTTGAAGTGAGCATTAGATGACTTCAAATATAATCTAAATGTAAACTAAAGAGCATGCACAATTAAATATCCAATAAAAATCTTGACCGTTAACTGATATGATACTGATATTGTGCATCCCTATAGTTTTGTGCAAAAAAAAGAATGAAATTCAAGTCATTACTCAGGAAACAACATGAACATAAAATAATGTAAATAGGTTTTCATTCACAGGTTTTTCATTGCTGGGTGAGCTATTCCTTTAACACCTTAATACCTGACCCTAAAATGACACAAGATTTGGCAGACGTACTGTATACGTGTTAAAATATTACATATGGCAATTTTGGAATAAACACAGAAAGCCCTTTTATTGCAAATAAAAATTCTAAATAAAACCTTCAACACAAATCACCTTGCAGTGTAATAAAAAATCTTTATATTAGGTTTATATATTTTTTAAGTCTATGACAGATAGTAAACAACTAGAGTAGTAAACAAGAAAGTAAACAACTAAAGTGCTTGTCGGTTCGAACCAACTCTGGGCACATAAAAATGACAGTTTGCAACAATCAACTTGTATTGTCCTTTTTTCCCCTTGTATATAATACATTTACGGTCTACTTTTTCTTTTTTTGCTGTTTGAGCATCTTTCTTCGTTTTAGGATCATGTCATGAAGTCTTTCGAGTCCCTCTTTGAGACCGTCACCAATGATGGCGCAGGTGGACTGCAGGTGCCACGGCGTAGAGGGTCCCAGTTCATTGAGTGCCAGCATGGTCTCTATCTGTGACAGTGACAGAGCCTGTCTCAAGTCCTGCTTGTTAGCAATAATCAACACAGGCACTCCTTGATTTTCAGAGGATCTGGCGATTTTGTAAAGCTCAGTCTTCGCCTCTTCCATTCTCTCCGCATCCAAAGAGTCCACAACAAACACTATGCCATCTGTGCCGCGTGTGTAGGACTTCCAAAGAGGGCGCAGTTTCTCCTGGCCGCCAACGTCCCAAAAGTGAACCGTCACTGTTTGCGAGTCCCCAACAGGTACTCTGACTTTCTCTGCATTGAAACCTTTGGTGGGGACAGTGTTGACAAACTCATTGAACTGCAGACGGTAGAGGACCGTCGTTTTGCCTGCAAAGTCCAGACCCAGAATAGCGATGTGAAGAGAATTACAGAACGGAAGACTGGATAGAAAGTTGGGTTGCTCTGATATTCCGTTCCCCATTTCTCTCAGGAGTATAAGAACAATATGAGTTTAGGATGATGTTCCATAGGTCCAAAATACCAGATGCACATCCAGTGCTTGCCTAGAAGTTCATACATAGAAATATGGTGGTTTTTAAATGGCTTTTGAATGATCTAATACAATCTGCCTGGCTGCAAAACCACAATTCATTATTTGTGAGGGTCTGTTTTAAAAACATACCACTTTACATGCCAAACAAAACGAGACTTTCAGGTAAAGCGGGTTATTTTTAAGAACTTCACTGATAGATTATGATCATTAATCATACTGTTATGAGCTTTCATACACCATATCATACAACAGTTACAGCTTTTAAGGTCAACTTATCATCGATCTAATACAGGGCTGTCCAAACTCGGTCCTGGAGGGCCGGTGTCCTGCAGAGTTTAGCTCCAACTTGCCTCAACACACCTGACTGGAAGTTTCTATGCCTAGTAAGAGCTTGATTAGCTGGTTCAGGTGTGTTTAATTAGGGTTAGAGCTAAACTCTGCAGGACACCGGCCCTCCAGGACCGAGTTTGGACAGCCCTGATCTAATAGATGAAGAATGGACTACCAGCTGGTGGGGCTGAGACTAACTTAGATAGATCTTGATCAAGCTGGTTAGAGCTAGAAAACTACTAGTTTACACCCCTAAATAACCAGCTACAATGTTCCAAAAACCAGCCTGACCACCTTAAGCTCATATGATATGGCTTGCAGTAGTAACTAAATTCCAACGTTTACCATTTTTCATTGCAATATAAAGACATTTTGTAATATTTTAATACCATATTTTTAACCTTTTGTTTTTTTTTATATTCAGCCCCACTTTATCTGAAAGGAATTTAAAAGCAGTGCCTAAATATGTACATTAATAAATTCCTATATATTTACAGTACATTTAAGAGGGTATAGAAACATTAAAAACTCAAAGTCTCAGAATATATGATATAGAATCTCGCACATTTCATAGTTTGGCATAAATGAAACGTGGCATTCACCCCAATCGCGCATATAAGGAATATAAAAATTATATTAATTTGAATAGGAGTCTGTAAACCCACAGGAACAAACCGCTCAGAAATGAAGCTTATCTCAATTATGCAATATTTCCTAGGAACAGATCAATAGGGTGGTCTAACAATAAAAGTGAGCGCGATAACAGTTCTGCTGACGCCATGAGGGCATTTCTCCGGAAGTCACTCGCGTCCACCTGTCGAATCGAAACTGTTCTGAATTAACCCAAAGTCCATGTAGACATCATATTTCTCCAACCTAAACACTTACTATATCCGTATATTGTGAAAGTATAAACTTAATCTATGTGACAACATCTTAAGAGAAAATACGTGGATGTTTAAAGCACATGAACTGCAGCTCGCGTTTTGGGCCAACATGAATTAATCATGACGCGCAGACAAAACTTGCTTACAGAGGAGCCTATGTTCCTTATTGTTAGTTAAACGGTTTAAAACTAAACTCTTACCACAGTCGCCCATTTAACTTACCGTTCAGACTTCATACTTCGCTATTCAACATTGACGCCCTCGCTCTGCTCCGCGCGCTACTGACCGACCCCCAGCGCGCAGCAGCAGCTCATTTGTTTACCTTTAAAATGATTGGTCAACGGAGGTCATGCGCCCATAATATATGCAAAGAGATACAAAATAAGAAAGCTACAAAATTGCTGCATTTATTACGTCTTTGTTGTTTGTATTTCTCAAGATATAGGCTATTATTCATTTATTTATTAATTAATTAATTTAAAAACAAAATGTAATTAATCTTTCTAACATTTTGTTTGTATTGTTCTGTAAGTTTTGACAGTTTATCTAAGAAAAGAAAAGACAAAACAACAACAACAACAACAAAAAAGCAAGAAAAGTGTGTAATGATGTTTACGATAAAGTGGGGTTCTCCATAAAACAGCAGGACTCATTAGACAAAACAGAAAATTGATGTTTAAACTAGCTTTATCTGCACCCCACAACACAAAATTCTTTCTTTTGTCTTAAAACAGATTAATTTCCTCCAGGAGTTGGTCAACTTTTCTTCAGCTCGGTCCATTAAGGCACTATATACTCCTCTTCTGCGGCGATGCCTCTATAACACAGGAAGTCAAATATTTCCAAAAAGGTTAATAAATTGTCTGTTCAGTAAGATAAATATGAGTGTTCACTCCGTTCTCACTGTATAATAAGCAGATTTTGGAGGCCATGGCGTCTTTGGTAGTACGAGCCTTGCGTCCCATTTAAGCTCTGCTGGTTTGAAAGTATCCATTTTGCTTACTGTGTGTCTATGAGAAGGGCTCAGGTTAGGATGGCTGTCAGTAACTGTGGAGACATTGAAATAAAATGCAATCAAGCCACAAAGTATTTGACCTTTGTTAATGGATTTTATGACTGTTAGAGAAGTACTAAAATATTGATTACAGTGGTAAGACATTTACTTATTTTAGAATTTAAGATCAAGTAGCCAGGATCCTTTTCTAAAAAAGTCACCATATCTGGCATTCCCTCAGCACACTGCAATCGCATTAAGAGTGTTTAAATGTCTTATAAAGACTGTCATCTAGTGTTGATGTAGTGCAATGCAGATAATGTGAGCCATAATCTTAGAACAAATTTACAGGTCTGAAGTTATGAAGTTTTGGATCTTTGTAAGGCCCAACTGGATACATCCCCTCTCTCACAAACAACAATTTTGACTCTAGTGAGTCTGGTGGTTTGTAGAACGTGATAAATGTTCTTGTTTTACATCCCTTTTGCTCAAGTCCAGGCAATACCGAAGGAGTAACATCATTAATCTTTTCCAAAATAAAATATTTTTCTTCCACACTATTATTTGATTTAACCAGGTGAATGTTTTTGCCCTTGATCTGTGGCAAACCCAAAGATCTGTACAGTTTTGGGGTAAAGTCAGGGGCTTTTATGCTCCATGGATCAACGGGAACTACTGGGTGTGGGGGGACAAGTCCACAACTCCTGCTTGAGATCAAGTTTTGACTCACAGAAAAGAGCAGCTTTCTTCTGAGGTCAACAGACATGGGAGTTTCCAAAGGCTCAGGAAGATTCATTGTGAATCAGCCACATCTTTATGTTCAGAGCAATAATCTGAGACCAAACCACACACAAGTTGTTGATTAAACAATGATTATTGGAGTACGTTTTACAAGAAAATAGTATTTCAGTCTTTCTACTTTAAAATTTCACATTTAATTCAGTGTGTTACTTGCAGATTCTTTGTAATTATTTTAGAAATTTACTAGCAATTTCTGATTGATTATTGTTATTATACAATTTTTTTAGTGATATGTACGATACATCAAATTGTTACACAATCTTTAAATTAGCAACCTCATAAATTCCATTTCATCTTAATAAATAATCTATATAAATGTATTACATATGCAAAAGTAGGCGTAAGATTTGATTTAGGTGATAGACTAAATTATATAACATATTATTTTAATAATAAGACATAATACAACAACAAAATTAAGAAAAAATAACAAACAATTAAAACAATTTAAAGGAAAGAATTCTTAAAATCACTTACTTTTCTTACAGCAGAGGCTGTCATTCAGCCATGACAAAGTAGACAGTAAAGAGTTCAAATTGCTGTGTTTGATTAAATTTTGTTTAAAGCCAGCTCAGCATGGAGCACTGGATACAACAAGGTTGCCAAGCAGCAAGAGTTTCAAGTTCTCATTCAGAGACTCTGCATGTGCTGGACAGAGCACAGTGGGGACATTGTTGAGGATACAAAGAGACGTCTTAGCAACCATCAAACTATGAATTAAAGTCACTTTAAGTATGAAATACTTTGCGGAACATTTTATAGCAAGAAATACCTATGAGACATATCTTCAGTTATTTTAATTAACAGAAAATAATCCTGACCGTAAAAATGTCTGTGTGTGTGTGTGTGTGGGGGGGGGGGGCT